GGGGGGGGGGGGCAATTCCCATTTCATTCAAACCCCCTGACGAAATTTCATTCCAGTTGCCATTTTGGTAAGCCTTTTCTCGCAATCTCATTCAATAGAGTTTATCTTGAATCTTCTTTCATTCTTCGAACGCTTAAAATTGGGGGGAGAAAGAGAAAACTATTAAGCCCTTTTATTCAACAATATGGAGGGAAAAAGTGGAGACTATTGTTGGGGTGAAAAAGGAATTATCGGAATTGAGGGAGGAATTGATTTTTGTGATCATCTGTGCTGGTGAAATTTGTGGTACATTTGAAAATTTTTGTCGGGAATATGCAATGTTAGTTTTTCGGAAATTTCAAAGAATTATTTTAGGAAAATTAATGGAAATCTCAAGTGTTCAGGTAAACATTTACTGGAGTCCTCAATTAATTGCAAATTCATCGTATTTCCGCACTGAATATTCATGATTTCATTGGAAACTCCGATAGGTTGAGGAATTGTCATCTCCATGAAATCAGAAATTCCGTGATTTTTCCTCTAAATCGAGTTCAGTGTCACTCTCTGAAAATAGTTTGTCAAGTGTTCATGAAATTTTCAGTTTATTCAACAGTAATACAGAAAAACTGTTTCAAGAATGAGTCAGTAGAGAATGCTTCAAGGAAAACTGAAGTGGGGGAGGGATCAGGGGAAATTTTCGGGTGAAAAAAAAATTTTCCGGTGAATAAGTCGATGAATTGTTTTTTTCTTTTTGTAAATTTATCGACTCCCTGTTATCTTCGACGCGCCACACGAACGATTGATTAGTACACGCGTATTTACAGCGCATTCCTACCTTACCGACGTCCTCTGAGCTGTGAGGTATTAGCGCCCAATTATCGCACCTACGTAATCCCCCAAAATTTACACTGAATTTGTCTTCTTGTTAAAAATGTCAGTTCTCAATTCTTTAATAAAAGAAAAAAAGTTAATTGCACCGGCCGGGAATCGAACCCGGATCGCCCGCGTGGCAGGCGAGCATTCTACCATTGAACCACCGGTGCTGATATTCATTCAACTAAAGTCATGTGCTTTTGATGCCTGAAATTATTTTGATGCAGCCACTTGATTAATAAAAAAATATTAATGACGAACTTTTTTGTCACGAAATAGATTTTACCTACATAGAGAATTTTATTTTGTCTCATTGGACGCAGTTACATTCATTAAGGATGTGATAGCATTGAAGTCTATAGCTCAATCTTTTTTAGAATTAAAAAAAAATTGCAATTTAACTGGGGAAAATTTTCATTTTTCTGGTTGTAAACCGCAAATGCAACAGTAAAAACTGCCTATAAAGGGTTTATTTAATAAAATCACTGGGTTCATTCAAATCATGCGTAATTAATAACTTTTATTTGAAGTTGATAAAATAAACAAGTCTTTTAAATATCAGCAATCGTTCCCTCGAGCCCAGTGAAGACTTTTAACACCTAACTAATATGTAATAATCCTTTATTGAGATCAAATAAATTGTGTATTCCATATAATTAAAACAATCCATAAATTCATCAGTTTTAAGGATGTCCAAGTACTTTGGTTGATTTTTTTCCTGTGAAATTCTTTTCTACTTTTGCAGTGTAACATCAGAGCTCCCATTTGACCCCAACTTTTCGGACATTTCACAATAATTTTATTATACAAACTTTTCAAATTATTATTTAATCTTTCCATCAAAGACACTGTATAGGTCATTAAAAAAAAATAGCCAAAGTACTTCCACTGTTAGAAAAAAAAATGAAGTTTCATGGACAGTTGACTACTAATTTTCAGGACAGTGACACTGAAGGCGATTTAGGGGGGAAAAAATTATGAAATTTCAGGTTTCACTGAAAATTCAGTGAAATTCCAGGAATTTTAAGCAGCATAAAGACGAGAATTCAAAGAATATTCAGTGCCAAAGTACATAGAATTTTCTGAAAATTCCAGAATACATTTAGCGGAATTTTCTGGATATCTATTTATTTTCAGGAAAAAATGGAACTGAAGTTTACAGTTCTCTTTGATTTTTCCACGAAATTCTGAATTTTCAAAGACGAAATTCCTTGAAATTTCAGTGGTAATTAAATTTGATAAAAATTTCCAAAAAGTGGACCGGAAATTTCAGACAAAAATTTTCACCAGTGTAGATATCCGTAACTAAAAATACTGTTGAAATGGAGCATTATTTTTTTGTCTGTCATTATGAATATCGCACCTAATAAAATTGTTCAATTAATTCAGGTGATATGGGTATGCATCCTGTGTCGTAAGAAACAAGAGCTCCTCTCGAAAACGGGTCAATGGATGGTTAAGTCGGGCCTGGGCGCTGCGGACCAAGCGATGCTCAGGCGAATGCAGGAGGATATGCAGGGCACCCCGGGCCTCACCGACTTGACCCAGGACAAGAGACCAAAGCTTGAACGTGCTCGCAGTGCCGCCGAGAAGGAGAATCTACCGCTACTCCAGAGCAGTGGAAGTCTACTCAGACGTCAGTACTCCCAACAGGAACAGGTGAATAACTCGGAAAAATCTCAACACTAATTCTCGCCCTCTTTCACTTCCTCTCGCACCCTCGAGTGACGCTGGGATTATATTTGCCAAAGTTACTGCCAGTTCCCAGCAAACTGCAGAATCAAAGTTTCTACTCCCTGATAGCTCGCATTTGGATACCCCCGGCTGTCGTAACTTGGAGTGCATTATCGGTGAAAGTATCAAGTTGTATCGGTTCGTTCTCGATAATAAAAGCTCACTTCACTTGTGCATAGACTCGTGTAACTTTGTGCCTGCCAGGCAGGAAAATTCTTTGAGTTTGCGGTTTCTTTGTGGGTGGAGTGGTGAATTTGTTTTTTGGAGATTCTCCAAAGCAATTGAACTCATTCCCCTTTCCTAAGATGGAATTCAGCATTTAAAGAATACACGGAGAACAAAAGTTTTGGTTTTTGGGAACATGTCACTGATGATTTTCAGGATTTATTGTTAATGATTAGGGCTTTGCGATTGTGAAATTCGTTGAATGTAAAATCCCGAAATTCTGTGATTTTGTCACCAAATTTCAGTGATAAAAATCACGAATAGTCAGGGTTAATCCAATTAGTTTTCAGTTCCGGAAAATCAGTGACATGTCGCTAAAAATCGGTGAGTTGTCCCTGAAAATCAAACTATTTTTTCCCTGTGTTGCTAAGCATCATTATGATCGAGTTCTGAAATTGAGAGATTTTCACTGAAAATTAGGAACTTTTTTCTCTGTATAAAATTCCGAAAGTTTGGAGTGTTGGTTATTTTTTTTTAAGATTTTTTAAAGCAATTGAACCCATTTTCCTTTCCTAAGATAGAAGTCAACATTTAAAGAATCCACAGAGAAAAGCAGTTTTTATCTCCAGGCACCCGTAGCTGCCGATTCTCAGGGATTTATTCTCAATTATTATCGCTTCACGATTGTGAAACTAATTGAATCCAAAATTCCCAAACTCTACGATGTTGTCACCAAATTTCAGTGATAAAAATTACGAATAGTCAGGCTCAATCCAATCCTTTTTCTCTCAATTGCTAAACATCATTACAACCGAGTTCTAAAATTGAGAGCTGTCCACTGAAACCTACGAACTTTCCTCTCTTCATGGAATTCCCACAGGACATAATCAAACGCCTCGAAAGTTTATTGATAATAGCCATTCAAAAACCCGCATCCAATAAATTCCGAAGGATACCTCCACCTCCCAGGTCCCCATCAAATTTTGTGGCTCCTCTATATTTATCATACGTTTTACTCTCTGGGTCAATGGCTCTACCCCTCGGAGACACTTCGCTGGAGCCATTATCGACGGAAATAAAGAAGAAGACTGCGTTTATACGGCCGCAGGGTGGGTTTGAGAATGGATCGATCATTTCTGCCGAGGACTAATGAAAAAGTTTCGTACGAGGACGCGCCACTGGCCGAAAGCCATTAAACTGCAGACGTTGCATGGTTCGCCAACCCGTTCAAGGAAATTGCCCTTTATTTATTAACATCAAACATATTCCCCTCCCCCCCCCTCGCCCATTATTTTATTCTTTTCTATTCAGCGGTTTCCGGGTTTCATCCACTTTTGTAAAGCTTTTAAGGGATGAAATATTGAGGGGGTGGGTTGTGTGTGCAGATGCCACCGCGGAGAATGTCCACCAGCGACAGTGGGGTGGAGATGTCCGTGTCGCCGCACTCCAGAAGCCTACCGACTCCTCACGTTGTCGTTGGTTCCTATCCACAACAAACGCCGAGACATCCCGCTGCCTTTCCCGAGGATGATCCCAATCTTTATCGGGGTGAATTGGATGGTCTCATGAGGAAACATGCACAGACTTATCAGAGAACGAGACAAATTTATAAAGTATGAATTTGAATTATCACGTTTTTCTGAATTGTCTTTTGCATGAATTGGTTTTCGTTTTTTTGTTGTTTTCGTACGCGATGTCATTGCTTTGGAAAAGATGATCTCGTTGATACGAGGAAGTATTCAATAAAATAAAATGTAAAAAATTAAATGAAATAAAATAACGTATATTGAAAATATTCTTGTCAATTTCTAGAATTGTGAAATCTTCTGGTAAATAATTCTGTGCTCACAATGAGAAAAATAAGTCTTTCAATGGGGTGAGATTCTCTTGTCCCGAGAAAATTTTCAAGTGTTAGCATAAATCTTCCCATAAATTCATAGAGATTGCGTTATATCTAGAATTTAATGGATTGTGAGAACTCAACGCCAACTGAGGAATTTTTGGTTCAATTGCACGACGAACACTTTCATTATCAACTCAAGTGTATGGAAAATTGATCTGAAGTGTTGTGCTTTTTGTCCAGGATTTTATGTAATTAAAGTCCTGATGAAAAAATTCTGATATAACGCAACTACATGAATTTATGGGAAAGACATTATTTCTAGTCTTCAGAAAGCTTAAAAATTCTCTCGGGAGAAGAGAAACTCATTCTGTTGGAAAACTTTGTTCTCTCAGTCTGAGGACAAAATTATTTATCACAAAATTTCACGATTTTCAAAATTGACAAGAGAATACCCTCGCGTTTATAAAATTATCTGACTGAAAAGGAATTTAACTCAATGAACAAATGCCTGTTCGCAAAGGATATTTTACGATTCGTTGGTTGAAAAAACACATCCTTGGATGTCATGGGAATGAATGGAAATGAAATTTATTGTTTTGGAATATTGATTTCGATAGCAAACAAATTAAGATTTCACTTAAATTTTAAAAGGACGGAAAATCGTCAAAAACTACAGTTTCGTTTTACGATTACCCAAATTGTACAGTAATTTTTCGTACACAATTATCAATGAAGTACTAAAATATGAACAAAAACAATCTAAGAATTCAAAAAAATTACGGAAAAATTTTGCAATTCTCCCCAAAAAGGAAAACTCGGATATTTCAATGGGCTACCCTCACCCGGGAGTAGACTCGTCTCGAGTTCACCTGAGTCAGCAGCACTCAGTGTATCCAGTACAAGTTGGTCATCCCTCCCAGCCGCCATCGGGTAGCGTTCCTGGTTCCCTCCACCAACAGCGGAGTTTCAGTAGCAGTGAGGAGGAGCGCAGTACCCCCGAGTGCGCGAGTGACGAGCCAGACGAGTCCGAGAAGGGTAAGTGCCCTTTGACCACCAAACCAAAGCCCCACTTACCTCAATAAAAAGATTCCAGGACCAGAGATAACAGTAAACATCTTCAACCACTGTAATTTCCCTCGAAAAGTGCAACCGATTCCTCATAAAACGTCTGTTTTCACTCGCGGCCTCTTTCTACTTGCTCTCATATTCCCGAGAGAAAGAGGCTCAGGCTATAGTTGATTAGGCACAGACTCGGTGGAGCGTGTGAAGGGACTCAGCCACGTGCAAAGAGTAGCTGCACTCGGTACAGGAATATCCAAGGCCTCCTTTTCCCACATTCCCACATACATTTCACCCTCCGCAATATTTTTTTCCCCATATTTTCTTCATGTGCATCGTCACAGGGGTTGGAAGAAGGTCAAACGGTAATTTGCATCCCTGGAATTTCAAAAAAAAAAAAAGAAACAGGAAAACTTGTCATCATCTTGAATTGAAGGCTAACACGCATGAATTGATTTCTATTTCAAAAGAAATTGCAGTTTATTTGTGGAGTATTCTGTAAACATCTATGAAATTGAGAGGTTTGTAGAAATTTTCTTGGAGATTCTGTCTTGGAAGGATGATTTCTTTATATTTCTCCTAAACCTTCTAGTTAACAAGGTCAATTATATTTTCAATATAATTTACGGGACCTAGAATGCCTTTGAATTAGTTTCTTTCATATTTTCTGCAACAAGGTCAGAGTAATTTGAAAAACAGAAGAACACTCAGAGGTGTTATCATCTTGAATTCGACGCTAAAGTGCAATCAATTGATTCTTATTTCAAAAGAAATTGTAGGTTATTTGTGGAGTATTCTGTAAACATCTCTGAAATTGAAAGGTTTGTAGAAATTTTCAAGGAGATTTCATGTCTTTCAAGGATGATTTCTTGATATTTTTCCTAAACCGTCCAGTTAACAAGGTATTTTCAATATAATTTACGGGAACTCGAATGCCTTTGAATTAGTTTCTTTCATATTTTCTGGAACAAGGTCAGACTAATTTGAAAAACAGAAGAACACTCAGAGGTCTTATCATCTTGAATTCGACGCTAAAGTGCAATCAATTGATTCTGATTTCAAAAGAAATTGTAGTTTATTTGTGAATTATTCTGTAAACATCTTTGAAATTAAAAGATTTGCGGGAATTTTCAAGAAAATTCAGTTTCACAAGGAAGATTTCTTGAAATATTTCTCCGAACCTTCTCATTCACGAGGTATTTTCAATATAATTTGCGTAAAATTCCTTCTAATTCGTTTTAATTATTTGGAATTAGTTTTAAGAAGTTTGCAGAAATTTTCAATATAATTTTCATGACCTGGAATTCCTTTGAATTCAAATGAAATAAGAAAATCTAAAATAACCAAATCTGAAATTGATTTGTTATTCAATTTCTCGACTGGGTTTTCCTAAAAAAATTCCTCATCTCTTCGTTTTTACAGCCACTTCCCAGGTTTGTTCTTCCCTCACAAATGAGTACCTGTCATATTCCCACACGTGTCGCACCGTAGAAATTAGAACATTCCTTCCCCACTTCCCAGAACTCCCATTTCCGTATAAATAAACGCCTTCCATACTTCCACCCACGTGTCTCACCACCGATTCCCAGAACCTCACACATCAGCTTTCCCTCCCCAATCACAACTCCGAAATAATCCCGAACATTTCACCGTCCAAATGTAATAGAAAACAAGAATCAATATCACCCTCCAGGAAATAGAGAGCAAACAATTTTATTTTTCGGCGTATGTCCGTAATTTTTAGAAATTGAGCGTTGATTTTTAGAATTCTATCCCTATTTTTTAGAAATTCTAAACAATAACTCGCACTACTGTAAACTTGAGGGATTTAATCGCTAAAATTTAAGAATAAAACCCCTAACATTTAGGATTTTATCGCTAACAATTAGTGATAAAATCACTTAATTTTAGGATTTTTACTCCTTAGACGAAAAATTTCATGCACACTTCTTTTTAAAATTTTTATTTGTGACCAGTTTAGATGTAATTTCCAGGAGAGCGTCAATAAATTCCATTTACGTGATGAAAAAAATCACAAAATTCTAAACTTCACTGAAATACAAAATTTTCGAGCAGCAGAAACACCTGAATTCCCGGAAATGGTTGAATTCTCAACCAACCCATAAATATTCAATATCAAATTACTCAGCATTTCCCTCATTCCCCTTAACTCCCTCGAAACTGACCTGAAATTCACAGTTCCCATCGATTTTCCCTCCAATAATGAATCTCCGCGCCGAAATTCCCCTAAATTCCAGTGAAACCACACGGAGAGAAAAAAATGATAGAAATGATCCTTCCACTCGGATAAAATTGTATTTTTCTGTGGATTTCAATACGGAAATTGGACAAAAATCGATATTGAGTGATAAAAACTATTCTGCGCGAAATAAATTCTATCCTAAAAAAATGACAAAAAATGTTTGACGATCGATAAAACTTATCATATGTACACGGAGAGAAATTTTTGATAAAAAATATCCCATCGTTCTATGAAAGTGTATCATGAGTCATCGATTCCTCATTTCTGTCCCGAAATTTAGTAAAAATTCATATATGATGATGAAATGTTCTTCTACGTTAGAGAAATTTTATCCTGATAATAATCAACATTATTGTACTATAAGGATAAAATTTCTTATGCGTCAGGATAAAATTTCTCTAACGTACAATAAAATTTGATTATCATATATTAATTTTTACTAAATTTCGGAATAGAAATGAGGAAACGATGACTCACGATACACTTTTATAGAACGGTAGGATAATTCTTACAAAAAATTTCTCTCCGTGTAAGACTGATTTTCCCCTTCTGTACGATAATTTCTATGCAAATAAGGTGAAAATTTAACCCCGGATGGTTCATAATTTTTCCCCGGATTTCAGGATAACTTTTATCATTGTTTTCTCTCTATGCATGAGCGATAAAAATTTCATCGAAAAATGTGCACATCCCCCCAACTCCCCGCCAAAATCCCCCGTCCTTCTGCATTTCCACCATGAATCTTTGAGTTCTCTCCATTGATATCCTCCCATCAGTCCACCCGTCCCCGATCCTCTCGGATTCCTCCGAATCGTCGCCTGCCACGCATAAATCCCGGAGCTTCCCAGTGCCGCTCTGAATGGAATAGCCCAGTGCAACAGAATCAGCGAGAGCTATGCGACAGAAGGCCGGCATCTTCTGAGAGAGAGAGAGAGAGAGAGAGAGAGAGAGAGAGAGAGAGAGAGAGAG